CTGGACGGACGCGACCTGGTGCAGGAGTGGCTGGGGCAGCACCAGGTACCCTGGCCCCGGGGAGGGGCGCGGGCGGGCCGGCGGGCGGGCGGGCGCGGCCTCCCCCGCGCTGAGCGCTGTGCTCCTCTAGGGGGCGCAGTACGTGTGGAACCGCACAGGCCTCCTGCAGGCGGCCCAGGACCCCGCGGCCACTCACCTCCTGGGTAAGAACCCGCTGCCGCGCTGCCCCCCGCGCCCCCGCGCCCCGCGGGCCCCGGCTCACCACGCCGCCTCGTCCCTCAGGCCTGTTCGAGCCCACCGAGATGAAGTACGAGATGAGCCGAGACCCCGCGCTGGACCCGTCCCTGGAGGAGATGACCGAGGCGGCGCTGCGGGTGCTGAGCAGGAACCCGCGGGGCTTCTACCTCTTCGTGGAGGGTGAGCGGCCGTTCCGGGGGGGGGGGACCCCGGGCAGGAGCCGCACCCTGGCACTGCCGCCTGCTTCCCGTAGGGGGCCGCATCGACCAAGGCCACCACGAGGGCGTCGCACACAAGGCGCTGACGGAGGCCGTCATGTTCGACGCCGCCATCGAGAAGGCGGCGCTGCTCACCGACGAGCAGGACACGCTGACCCTCGTCACCGCCGACCACTCCCACGTCTTCTCCTTCGGGGGCTACACACGCCGGGGCACCTCCATCTTTGGTACGCTGGGGACATGGCGGGGCCGTGGAATCCACCTCTCTTCCTTCCAGGCCTGGTGCTGCCCTGGGCTTTCCAACCCAGCTCCACTGCCCGCGAGGAGCGGCTAACTGCTGGGGCTGGCTTAGAACCGAGAGCCTCAGCTCTCAGCCTCCTCAGTAGCTAAGATCACAGGCGTGGCCCACCAGGCATCAACTGGAGAGCAGAAATCTCTCCGCCTGCCTCAGTTTCTTCTGTGGCACAGGTGGGGTGTGACACAGGTGGGGTGTGGCACACGCACGAGTGCGAGGCGTCCCCTTCTCCCCGTGCAGGCCTGTCCCCCGATAAGGCCCTGGACGGCAAGTCCTACACGTCCATCCTCTACGCCAACGGCCCCGGCTACGCGCTGGGCCAGGGCGCGCGGCCAGACACCCGGGAAAGCGAGAGCAGTGAGTGATGGCGATTCCCGGTGGGGGTCGGGGGCGCGGGGAGCTTGGGGGTCACCGTGCTCAGCGTCCCGTCCCGCCAGGCGCGCCCACCTACCGGCAGCAGGCGGCCGTGCCCTTGGCCTCGGAGACGCACAGCGGGGAGGACGTGGCGGTGTTTGCGCGCGGCCCGCAGGCGCACCTGATGCATGGCGTCCAAGAGCAGAACTACATCGCGCACGTCATGGCCTTCGCCGCCTGCCTGGAGCCCTACACCGACTGTGGCCTGCCGCCCCCGGCCCCACACGGACAAAGCGCGGGGGTCCGCCTGGACGCCACCCCCGGGACTCTGCTGCTGCTTCTGCTGCTGCTCCCGCTGGGGGGACCTGGTGCACCCTGAATCCCGGGGTCAGCAGGCCCCACCAGTGCCCTAAGCGTGGCTTCTGCTGCAGCTCCTTTCTCTCTACCTCTGCCGGAGCCTCACACAGCTTCCTGTTCTGGGGCCACAGCCAGAGCCCCGACTAGCGGAGCTCAGAGGTAGTCAGCCTTAGACTAGGCAGTACCACCCCCCCACCACCAGCAGGCCCGGGTGTCACGGTCACCCCAGCTGTTCTCACGGGCCAAGGCTGGACAGGACCAGTGCTGCCTCTCTTGGTTTCGGCTCTGCAGCACCACAGACCCGGAGCTACATGGGCTGCTGGGTAGGGTCCTGGGCAGGGGAGTCCAGCATGTCCGTATTTGTGACCCGGATCGCCCGCCCTCCTGGGACTGGATCCTGCTGGAGAGACACAGTGATAATAAAGTGAACTTTCTGCTTGCTTTTCTTGTCCTTTTCTTGTTTTGGTCAGTCTTAGGGCTTGAATCTTGGGCCTGGGCTCTGTCCCTGAGCTCTTCAGCTCAAGGCAAGTGCTGTTCCACTTGAGCCACAGCACCACTTCTGGTTTTCTGATGGTTAAGTGGAAATAAGGGTCTCACGGACTTTTCTGCCTGGGCTGGCTTTGAACCTCAATCCTCCGCTGTCAGCCTCCTGAGTAGCTGGATGACTGGCGTGAGCCACCGGCACCTGGCCGCTCACCTTCTTTTCTAAAGACAAAAAGTCCCAGTGGCCGGTGTGGCAGCGTGCAGGCAGAAGGGCTGCTGGGTGTGATCAGAGGCAGCCAAGGGTCATTAGTTAGGCAAAGGTCCTGGGTGGGGTGACCACTCAGGTGATGCCGAGGGGTGCCAATGCTGAGGCCTGGAGCTGCAGCCGCCGAGAGCTCCCAGTGCTCAGATCCCGACCGCAAGTGCTGGAGTTCTCCTCGCCGCTCCCGGGCGGCCTGAGCCGGCTCCGCTGGCAGCTGAGGCGTTGCATCTAACGGCAGGCGGGAGCAGCCATCGGCTGGCTGGGGCAGATTCGGGTCAGCTCCTGGGCTTGTCACTGGCCTCTGTCCCGGCGTGGGAACAGTTGTCAAGCAGGGTGCCCAGCAGGGGTCTGGGGCCGCAGCCTCACCTGCAGGGCATGGAGTGGATCAGCTGGGACACCTGCTGCATGTAGTCTGTGGCCAGCAGCACCACCTCCTCCTCCAAAAAGTCCTCCTGGAAGATCTGGGCCAGCAGCCACTTCCACCTAGGACAGCAGCCACAGAGGACAGAGAGAGGAAGAGGAACAGAAGACACCAAGCCCAGGAGCGTGGGAGACTTCATTCATCCTTCTGCACCCAGGATCCATCCCCAGACATCATGTCAGCCAGGCCTCGATCCCAATCACCACACATCGGTCTCCAAGAAATCTTATCCAGCACAGCTCAGAGGCAGCACGCTGCTCCTCACAGGTGACCACCTGTGCGGTTTCTTCTGCATTCGCTAAAAGGCCTTTGGCCTTTCTGATTGCCTCCTGCACCAAGGCCTGGATGAGACTTGGGGTTTTAGGCAGAAGCAGATCTAAGGGCCACAGGCCATGAAACAAAAGAGGCTGTGGGAGACGATGGAGGGAGGAAGACGGTGGAGGCTTGGCCCAGGGTCTTTGCACATGCCGCCGCTTCTTGGCTGCCAAACTGGATGTCATCATCCACTCATTCCAGGACTGGTACTCAATAGCACAGTAAAGACACAGGAAACATCATTTTTTGGTGTATCTACAATATTTTAATGCCTACAATGTACTGTTCTGTTAACTGTGAAAGAGCATTATGTCTTTAAAAAAATAAAACCATGTGCACCTTAACCTAAAAAGGTGTTATTGCCAAAAAAAAATGCTAGGCATTGCTGGGCATGGTGGTACACCTTCATAGTCCCAGCTCTCAGAAGACCGAGGCAGGAGGGTCTGGAGATTAAGGCTAGCTTGGGCTTCATGGGAAGACCAGGTGAAAGCAACCTAACAATAAGGCCAGGTCCCAACATCGAAGCCTCAGCAAAACATCAGGTCACGTTGGAGCTGGTGCAGAGTCTACGCCAGTGAGTCAGCTGCTGGCGGCTCAGGTGCTGATCCCTAACGCTTGGCATAATTCTGCCGTCAGCCATAACTGCATTCCTTATTCAGGCAGCTGAGACCTGAGAATCAAGGTCCAAAGCACTGCGTGGGCAGTAAAGCCCATGAGATTCTAACCTGCAGTTAACCAGCAAAAAGCCAGAATGGAGGAGTGACTCAGGTGCTAGAGCACTTGTCTTGAGTGTAAAGTGAGTGTACGGGCCTGAGTTCAAGTCCCAGTAGTGGCACAGGACCAAATTGACAAGATTCTGCAGTCGCGTTGGCCGCATCCACTGGCTCTTCCTTACACACACACAAAATAGCAAGCCATGCTATTTTGATGGCATTTTACCCGCAAAATAGCTTCTTTCAAATTAAGAACTAATGGGCTCAAGCCAAGGTTATTAATAGCCATGCGCAGAGGCACAGGGCTGTGCGCCCAGCTCTCAGCAAGTGAAGTCTGCAGGATCATGAAGTCCAGACCAGCCTCCACTATATGGCTGGACTTTATCAGAAGAGAGGAAGGAAGGAAGAGAGAGGAGGGAAGGAGGAAGGAAGGAAGGAAGGAAAGGAAGGGAGGGAGGGAGGGAGGGAGAGAAGGAAGGAGTGGAGGGGGGAGAAGAGGGAAGGCAGGCAGGGAGGGAGGCAGGAAGGAAGGAAGAAAGAAAGAAAGAGAGAGAGACAGAGGAAGGGAGGGAGGGAGGCAGGCAGGGAGGGAGGGAGAGAGGAAGGAAGGCATGCACACATGCAGACACCACTCCATTCACAGAAAACATGTCCTCACCTGAAAAGTTTTACCAATGAGAAGCTGAGCACATGTGAGACCCTGAATTCAATCCCAGCACCACTTCAAGTCCAAAAAGGACTTGAAGGTGTAAACCGCTGCTTGGTCTGTGGGTGACAGAGCACACTGTGAAAAGAAATATTTTCAAAAGAACATTTTTTTTTGGATCCGTAGATCTCAACAGTGAGCTTAATATGTCAAGTAAACGACATTGTAACAGATGTGATCTTTGCACAGGCAGAGTTGGTTTTCTGAATACCTTTGAAGACCTCTAGACCCAGGCACCAGGGGCTCGTGCCTGAAACCTTAGCTACTTTGGAGATTGAGACCTGAGGATTGCAGTTCAAACTCAGCCTGGGTAGGAAAGTCCTGAGATTGATCTCCCATTAACCACCAAAAGGCTGGAAGTAGAGCTGTGGCTCAAGTGGTAGAGCACTAGCCTTGAGCAAAACAAGCTCAGGGAGATGCCAAGGCCCTGAGTTTAAGCTCCAAGACTGGCGCGCGCACACACACACATACACACACACTAACTCTAGGATTATTGAAATGGTAAATGAGCACTGGTTTCAACTTTCCATCTCCAACCACCTTGGTCCCTACAAGAGTCAGCCTGCCTTTGAACACTAGCCGTTCCCCTCTCACGATGGAAATCTTAGATGGGGGGGGGGGGTACTAGTACCTCACACCTATAATCCTTGCTACTCAGGGGGCTGAGATCCACAGGATTGGTGTTCAAAGCAAGCCCAGACATAAAATCTAACCATCTCCAAAACAATCAGCAAAAAGGATTAGATGCATGGGTCACGTGGTAGAGCACCAGCCCAGCAAGGCCCTGAGTTCAAACTCTAGTAGCAGCCAAACACACAAAACTCCTAGATGGCCTCTTTCAATAGAAGGCTTTGAAGCCAGGCACAGTGGCTCAGGCCTGTAATCCCAGCAACTCTGAGGCTGAGGTGTGAAGGTGGAAGGAAGGTGTGTGTGGAGTTGTGTTTCACGGGTCCCTTAGGACCATGCCCTGGCCCTGAATTCAAGCCCCAGTACTGCACAAAATAAATAGAAACCAACCAGTGTGTGTCTCCTGTGGAGGGCGCAGCTGCAGTGAGAAGCGCTTTTCTGGAGCACAGACGTGGTCTCCATCCTCACCCCTGCAAGAACTAAATGATGGCGACTGCGTTGTATACCCCACAACTCAACACAGAATAGATGAACCGCTGCAACCTGAGGGGATTATTGGCAGCAGCGCTATTCTAACACTGTGCGCGCTGAATGTGCTCACTGGTGGGTTGGTCAAACCATCACCAGCCCAGTGGTGCATTTCCATCTGAGGGCCATTTCCAGAAGGACTGTGTTCAGACGCCAGGCTCAGGGGTGCTGGGGACTCTTCTGTTCTAAGCTTCTCCACCCAGGGCCAGGGCTTTGGAGTGACGGCACGGGCAGAGCTCACTCACTGGGCAGGTGACAAGGACACACGCATTGCCATGGTCTCCACGGCTGTAGTTCAAATCTTCCATGTTCCCCCCAGGCCTCTATGTTGGAGGCCTGCTGCCCTCTTTCTGCCACTTGGGGGCGGGGGTTGGGGGTTGGGGGAGGTGGAGGACAGAAGAAGGGGAGAGAGGAACCGGGGCCACTTCCTGTCCTTTGTGTCTTAACCTCCAGAGCTTGAAGTGTTCACCACACATCCCTGCCAAGCTGTGCTGAGACAGGACCAAAGCCCAAGAGCCAATCTATTCTGCTTTTCTTTTGCCATTAATGGGATTTGAACTCAGGGCTTGGTGAGTGCTTTTGCTCACAGCTGATGCTCTACTATTGTGAGCCACAGCTCAACTTTGACTTTCTGGTGGTTAAGGAAAGTGTCTCATGGATTTTCTTCCTAAACTGGCTTTGCACTGAGAGCCTCAGATCTCCTGAGTAGCTAGGGTTACAGGTGTGAGCCACCAGCGTATGGCTCTAGCTGTACTATTAATACAGGGCTGAAATCTTCAAATCTGGGCCTTTTTCTCTTTTCTCCTCTTCCTGATTCTCCTTCTCCTCCTCCTTCCACTTCTGGCTTTCCAGTGGTTAAAACTATTCCTCCCCAGGCTGGTGTTGAACTGTGATCCTCACATCCCAGCCTCCTGAGTAGTTAGAATAAATACAGGTGTCCAGCAATTTCCTGTAGGGTGGAGAGCTGAGCAGCAGAGCTCTCCTGCTCCACCTGCCCCAGGACTGGCCAGAACTCGCTGGTGTGGCAGGTGCTGGTGCGGAATGAGCACCTGTGTTCCCCGCCTCTCCCCATTCTAGGAGGCCATGCATGACCTGGAGCCCCAGACTGGGCCCCGTCTCCCTGGCCAGGCCAGTGGCTCTTTGCCCATGAACACTTCTCAGCCACCAGCAGGGTGCAGAGCTGAGTGCATTGTCCATCCGCCCATGATCTTCATTTGCACCTGCCACACTGCACTCTCTCAAGCACCCCACCCCATAGTCCCTCCACACCCGGCTGCTCTGTCAGGAAAGGTCGGCCATTGCACTGTGGAAATGCTCGCTTTATTGCTCCGTGTGGTAGGAGAGCGGAATCCTGGCGGACTCAGGCCCCTAGCCCACCCAGCTTGTGGGCTGAGCTGCTGAGGAGCCGAAACCAAGAGAGGCAGCACGGGTCCCATCTGGTCCTGGCCCACGGGGACAGCGGGGGTGACTGGGCCACCCAGGCCCGCTGGTGGGGGCGGTGGGGGAGGCTGGTTACTTCTGAGCTCCGCTGGTGGAGGCTCTGGAGGAGGCCCCCGAACAGGAAGCTGCTGCCACTGACCGCAGCGCCAGCAGCGGCAGCAGCGGCAGCAGCAGCAGCACGGGCAGCAGCGGCCACAGCAGCACGGGCACGCGTGTCTGAGTGGTGTTCAGGCTGGACCCTGCTGAGGTGGTCGGGCCAGACCCCGCGCTTTGTCCGTGTGGGGCCGGGGGCGGCAGGCCACAGTCGGTGTAGGGCTCCAGGCAGGCGGCGAAGGCCATGACGTGCGCGATGTAGTTCTGCTCTTGGACGCCATGCATCAGGTGCGCCTGCGGGCCGCGCGCAAACACCGCCACGTCCTCCCCGCTGTGCGTCTCCGAGGCCAAGGGCACGGCCGCCTGCTGCCGGTAGGTGGGCGCGCCTGGCGGGACGGGACGCTGAGCACGGTGACCCCCAAGCTCCCCGCGCCCCCGACCCCCACCGGGAATCGCCATCACTCACTGCTCTCGCTTTCCCGGGTGTCTGGCCGCGCGCCCTGGCCCAGCGCGTAGCCGGGGCCGTTGGCGTAGAGGATGGACGTGTAGGACTTGCCGTCCAGGGCCTTATCGGGGGACAGGCCTGCACGGGGAGAAGGGGACGCCTCGCACTCGTGCGTGTGCCACACCCCACCTGTGTCACACCCCACCTGTGCCACAGAAGAAACTGAGGCAGGCG